TTTGCCACTTGAACACTCTCACATAAGCGCCAGCTGATCAGTCACTTTTCTAACCCTCCCTAACCCCTAGAAATAAAAACCCAAACTGGGGCTTCCCCTTACCTGAATTCTGTGAATGGAGGCCAAAGACTGCATGATGGGCTTTGAAAAGTGGTCAGACGGATGCTTGTTGGACGCGCCATGCACACATCTATGGCTTCAGATTATACAGGTGCGCCAAAGTAGGTTCCCCACGTAGAAAGTTTTCGAAAGTGTTCTCAGTTCTCGATATTTAAACGAATGCCAATACTTGCTAGACGATTCGGATTCCGTCCTTTATACTGTACTACTGTAAAAGCTTATTCCTCAAGAGCCCCTGAGGTAGCTGGACGTTCACCTCCCTCGAAAATATTCGCGAACTATGGTCTGTGCAAAGTTTAGCACTCCACAGTGACAGAAATTCGAACTCATCCTTGTAGGAAACGCTGTAGTGGGCCACCTAAAGGCACTGTGCTATTCAAGCCACCCATTGTGGCAAAGTATTTGAATCGGCAAATGTTCTGCGATTTGGCTTATACTACTTTGAAGATGGCCAGGAGGCTTATAACAGCTGTTATACAACATGATACCATAGGGTACTTCATAAATATACTTACAGTAACCAAATAGCTCTTGCATGACTTGGCTGAATATTATTAGGTGCTAGAACAATTTTTACAGCTGATACGAAAAGTGCACAGCTGAGGACAACAAGGAAGCTGTAAATGAAGTCGATGTACGAAGCAGTTGTCAGTGACCAACTGGTACGAGGTAGCATCAAAATAAAAAAGAATTCCAAGCTTGCAATGAAATAACATATGTAAATACTAAGGCATCCAAACACGTTTTTAAACTCTCTCTTCGGGGATAGGACACGCATATGTTCCCGATTTATTCGAAACTATAAGGGAAATGAGCTTTTTGAGATCGATAAATCCTGCCTTTGGAATGTGCCATACTCTCGTCTTTCATCCAGTACTAGCGACGATTGAATGAGCCTCATTCGGAAGATGTGTATGAAAATTAAATGCCATCCAAAAAACGGATAGATCTAACAATTTCAAAAAAAATAAGTGCCACAAAAAGGGCTGTCAGATGTTTCTAGTATTAGAATCTGCACTATCGCTAGAAGCGACCTCATTCCTATGACTCAGCCCCGAATTAAATGGATATCAATGGATAGAAATAGCCATGACTGTCACGATTACTAATTTGAATTGTTTATTACTTTCAGACGAGTTTTTATCAGAAGTTCGTCGCCATCATGTCTATTTCCGTGCCCAAGTACAGGAGTACATACATATTTCCGTGCCTTAGCGGAAATTAGTTCCACGAACGATGATTCTGTAAGCGTCTGGGATATCTGGAACTTATGTAAAATGCCTAATTCCACCACTTTTCTGTATTTAGTAGTTTAGTATGCTAACACTCTTACGTTTTTCACTTCAGATGACGTGTCGCGATTTAGGTGTTGCTGTAGATCTCCTCTCGTATACCTGCAATGCCCTAGTCAACCCCCCCCCCCCCTTATTTTGGGCTGAAATATAGGGCTGCTTATTTTTAGACTGGTTTGGATCGAGAAGTTGATGAGGATGTGGAAGCGGTAATATCTCCCTCCAGGTTACAAGAATGATCCAGATTTGGAAAGGAACGTCTAATGCTCCTACGATTTTGTATGAAAAACAAATGCACGTCTTATCCACAAAGGGTTTGATTAAACAGAGCATTCTGCCCTTTAATCCTTGGTCTACTGATCTAGACTTCTGTGATAGTTGTTAACGCCTGCTACAGATTCCTAAAGTGGGGATAGGGACAGTGTTTGTCCTAAATTACTAGTCACTGCGGCTCTAACAACACGTAGCGACAGCTTCAGATGGAACATCATGCTTGAACGGATAAAAGGATGAATTTTCCATCAAAAATGAAATACGAGCGATCGTAAGCAGGAAATAGAAAGAGAGAAAATGGAGTGGTTTTTGAGTAGGCGGCCCATGAGCAGCTCAGATACCCTTCTCTGTTGACTTGCCCTATGGGTGCAAACTCGTTTCAGGAAAGCAATATTTTCAGATGACGCTATCAATTGCGAGAAATATTAGCCCCTGTTTTATTTGACGATTCCGCCTTCTAGCATTACTCTCGACGTAATGAGAGCTAGAATAAAAGAGAAATTGGGAGAAGTGACGTGCAGAAGTACCTCCTAACCGACCGATTACGCCGTGCAATCAACTCTCTCCAGCAGCTGTATTACAGCTAACAATAAGTTGTATCAATGGGCGATACCTGGAACATGAGTTTTAAAAAGGATTCAGGTGAAGGCTTTTGAAGTAGATGTTCCCATTAGAATATCCGTTTTGAAAAAGAATTGCTGCAATTCACGGACGATCGTCAGCTATTCCGTTCTGTGATTATGTCACTCATCGCTAAATTAGGACAATCTCACACGACAATTGCAATTTTTCTGGTTCTTTTTTGCATAGGCGGCCTGTTCCTGGTTAGAAGCAATCAATCATGAAATTGTAGATGCACCAATGTCAGGGAAGTTTTGGGCAAAGGAAGTTCGAGTCCTGGCCATTGCATGAAAGACATAACTTTGACGAGGGGGAGACGGTGAAGGCGGCATCTGCGTACTGGCTGAAGGAGAGGGACGTGTAGAAGAGGGGAAACCGGCGAGAAGGGTACTAATTACTCAGTAGAAGGGCGTGATAATTTCACCCCTCTCACCGGAAGTCAATTGCCGACACAAATTATGGAAAGAGTAAAGGAACAAGAAAGTATCGAAGAGGGTGCTGAAAGGAGGAGAGTAGTACTGAGGATATTTTAAGGGAGGGAATTCTCATGATAAGAGACTCTTGCCGATATCGGCTTTACCCTGGCTACTAGTCTCGCCTTCCTTGCTCTTGCAAGTCTGATTGAAAGCCTATTGCTCTTTTAAAACGGTTCCAAACACGAAGTTTTTGATAGTTCCATGCTTGCCCAGCGATCCTCCAACTTATACCTCGATACTATCACAACTCAAAACCGTGTAAAACCATGGAAAGTTGTAGATTCAATGATGACAAGATTTAGAGCCAGTCACCGATACACGCCACGACCCAAAACCCAACTTCAAACGCCATCCTTAGCTAAGGTGAACTGTACATAAAATTCATTTCATATTGAATGGCCAAAGCTCTACTGATGAAAAATGAAAGAACATTAGAAAACAACAAGATGACAAAAATAAACAGCATAAACCCGTGTTTTGGACAAGCAAAACTTCAAATCTAATATAAAAAATAATGGGAACAACAAATTGATCGTTTCATATTCACACTTCAAAGCAGCTCTATGAGTTAACTCATTAAACAGCCTAAAACTCGCAATCCAAAAAATATTGGTTAATATGATTACTTACATTATACAGAGCCATTACTACCGTTTCCTTCCAACGCCTTTGATCTTCGCCTAAGCACTTCTCGGAATATAGCATCCCTCCACTCGTGTTCATCTCGAGAATTCAACTCTAATTTCGCTTTTTTGGATAGATGGGCCATTTTCATCTTCTTCCTTTTTCCAAGGACTTCGGATAGCCTCACAGTATTGGCGTGCATCGATGCCATTAAAGCATACAATGGATGAGTCATAATTGGACTAAAAAAACTCGAATAAGTATCGCTACCGTAATCTAAGCAATCGAAAATAAAACTAAAATGACTCACTAAAACGTTCTATCACAATGCAGCTTATCTGTAGCACGGCTGGGAACGTCAAAGGAGCTCCGAGAGTCACGCATATCTCTTTGAAATGATATGTTCAACGTTGGATAAAAGCACGGGTTCTCTCGAATCTTCTCATCCTTAGGTGAAGAATAGCCCAGGCCGTCGTAAGCGCTACTGGAGGATAGGCTAAAACCTCCACCTTCCTGGAACGATCAATACCTAGGCACCTGGAGAAAGGTGGGATTCCAAAATCAACTGCATACCTTGAAAAAAGCTTGCACACTTTCCACAACCGACCTCAAATGATTACAGTATACGTCTTCCGCTGCCGGTCTCGTCCATTCAAGCATTTTCAAAAAAGCTGCTTTTGACAAGAACGACATCTTCAATTGTCTAGCCCATAACTCAAGTTCCTGAAGAAACTGAAATACTAGGATCACTAGAAAAAAAAACTTTTTAAAGACTCACAGCATAACGAAGTCCAGTAGTCAAAGCCGCAACCGAGAGAGCAACATTGCCTTTTAATGTACGTTCTTTCAAATGACGAACAGTTCGCTCTTGACTTTCCCAATGCCTTTGTTCATCTGTATAATGGCAACAATTCCCGCATACATACTCCACAATGGCCGCTGTTCCAGCAGCAGTCAGTTTCGTGCTGCGTAGCTTTTCACCACATTCGGGACAGAATCGGAAAAGTTGCATCAATTTTTCTCCCTTGACTAGATAATAGTGACCTTTGGTAACTGGATCCTTCTGCTCAGAATGCGATGCTTGGAGGAACGAAGGTGAAGGATGACATACTGTATCACTTGCATCAAGTGCACCGTCAAATTGCTGAAAATGAAACGTTCTCCTCAACAAATGAATACCATAAATAGAAGTAAATGGAAATGTGCACCGTACCTTTGCACTTGCCTGCAGTACATCTAAAAGGGTTGCTCCTTCCTTGAGCCCTGCAGCACCCAAACTATTCATTCCGGAGGTACCTTCGTCAAAATTTAACTGAAAAATTGGTGAAAAGTCTGTAACCTACAAAGAAAATAATGATTTAAGTACATACCCTATCTTCAATGCGCTCAGGCCACAATGGGGTACCGTGGTACTTTCGTAGGGCGTTATTTAGGAACGTGCATACATCTCTTTCTGTGATAACGATATTATCCTAAACAATCTGACTGGAAAGAAGCAAAAAAAGTATAAAAATGAAAGTAAGAAGAGTTCAAAAAGCCGAAAAATAGGAGGAGTTTAAAAAGCCTATCCTACGTTGTTTTTCATTTCATTGAAGGATTCAACAAGATGTGGAGGTATATCTGCCAACGTGACGTATGCAGTACTTGCCCATGCTGTAGGATCTTCGAAATGAGAAAATCGTCTTCCAGCCATGGCCATCTCAGCTGATATATACTGTGCCTACATAGAAAAAAGCTTTCAAGTGAGTTTCCGATATTCTTTTGCTTCAAACTCACCGCTGTCACAAGATGTGTATGGCAAAAGAATTTGTTATCCGTACAAGCGTTATCAACTAGTGCATCAACGTTTGATCGTTCTATTTCTCCACCCAGTGAAAGAGATGCCATTAGAATGATGTTTTGACGTCGAGCACTTGATGATCGTCGTACTTCGTCTGCATGAACAGGCCTTCCACAGATTATGCATGTTTTTACCATTTGGTGGAGGAAATCTGAACATAAAGGTTAGGAACCTTCCAGAATGGTTGTATCATTCTCGACACAAACCAAAGACGTGAAGAATTCCGGAATGAAAATATCAACACTACGCGAAGTCATCATTTACAAGAAGAGCATAGCATGAAATAAAAATTTCCAATTTAGTTTTTCTCACAAATTTATCTATCGTAATGCGAACGTGTAAAGCTTAAAAATGAAACGAACAACGTGTAATATCTATGAGACATTGTCATGGCATTTAGGCAATTGCAGAACTCAAGACCTAAAGAGGCAATAATTCCTAAAACTAATTGATTCAGGCCTATAAATTCATTTAATGTATTCGCATATTCTAAAAACCTTATGCACTATAAAATCGAAACTGAGAACTCAGAGATCATAGCATTTTCCTCTTAACATAAACTGATAAACTACAAGAAAAAAACCAATGCCAGTAATAATTCTCTGATAAGACCTTATGGAGGATCCCACTCAAAAAAAAAACTACAAAATTCTATAAAATTTGTTGCCTACATTCGATTGTAAATGTAACAGAGAATTATTCGAACTTGAAGTTCGGCAGTTGGGCAGAAAACCTACCAAGAAGATCAACACGAAAAGAAAGCCTTGTCCTTACATACGAAAGCTCTTACTGAATTTCTACTAAAAATTGAGTTCGAAATGAGGAACCTCGTGGTTAGAAAGGTAAAAAAAGGAAGACGGAGAAAGAGAAAGAGAAAAAAGAGAACACAATAAAATAGAATCAAATCCATGCAAAATAAAACTATCCATCAATTCACATTTTGATAATTAGACGAATATCTTCCACAAAAGAAGACGAAATAAGTTCGGCAAATCGTCGTTTTGATTTCATATGAAAATGCAACGAAAAACACCACCGCCACTGTACAAGCATAGTTAAATAACCAAAAATAAAGTGATAATGAAGCCATTATAAAAGAAGTATGAGGAAAATTCCTCACATCAGGTCCCACGGACAGGAAGAAGTAGGAGGAAGCTGAAGAAGTGAAGTTGTATGCAAGGCGGCTTAATTAAGTAATATGCCTGCTCAGTTAGTGTGTTTGCGTACGACTGACTACTACAGTACACTTACGCCTAGTTTTATTCCACAACCACCACTGGAAACGCCTATGTTACATCTGATAGAAGTGGCTGCATAGATGGGGGGGAAGGGGTGGGGCCGATGAAGTAGTTCTGGTCAAAATCTCCCATATGGACTGGAAACCAAAATAATATTGTTTAAATTTTAGGCAAGATCAGGAGAAATTTTGGCCCGCATGTGTACAAAACTGCTTCAAGAATGGAATCAGCATTGGTCTAACTGTATGTTGGACTAATTGTACTTTTTCCTTCCAAAAACCTTCTTCTTCCAAAAAAGATGTCTCAGATTTGACATGTACTGGAATCACCCAACTGGGAGGAGATGCTCAAGATGGAATCCGTCGTGGGAAACTGGTGAGATGCTGATAAATGGGCCCCGGCAAGACTGCACGTCATTCAAAAATTTTTATTTGAAACTAAAGGGAAGTGGGAGACTGGTTATAAAAAGGAAACTAAACAAGTAATGAACACATTTGGTAGGGTTTAAGAAGGGCTTATTGTACTTAGGGTGAATATCTCGTCAAAAAAGTCAGCTGGTAACTTGGCTGAACAATTGAAAGGAAATTAGGAGTGCCTTCAACTGTTAGGCAACGAAAGAGTGGGTAAAGATGGGCAAAAGAAAAAAGGAGATAGAGAAAATTCAATGTTGGTGGCTACAAAACACCAGAACGTAGTAGAGGAATCCAGAGGAGAGCTACATTTGGGAATAAGATGATGTGTCGTGTTGGCACGACCTCTCTGCCTTGGCTCCTTATTTCTGGCTCAGCCTGAATAGGGGATTAAGCCTTATTCAAGAGAGCCTAATGACCCAACGGCTTAGAAGAGATGGTTCTTGTGTACGTAGTGAAACCCTACACCGGTGTGTTTTAAGGCATCTGTTCATTAGGTGAATTCATGCAAATTCGGTGGCATGGTCCGGGATTAGAGCAGATTAGAATGTGAGTGGAGCAGCAGGGAGAAGCTGTCCGGCACCGTCCACGGCAAAAGGAGAAGGTAGAGTAGGCAGAGTCGATGCGTCTCCTTGATTTTTGCTGAATTCCAGTATCTTCGGTATATGGTACTTTTCACTGTGGAACGTTCGACCATGATCTCCCACGAGGTCGAAGGAGGGTCTGGATCAATTGTCAACATCTTCTGCCAAATTATACGTTCAGAAGTAAAAATGAAACGGTAGAAGTGATGCCCACATCATTGCTGATTCCATAATTGGAAAAAAGGTTTTTGCTTTCTGCGATTCACTTGACATACTGTTTGTTCTTCATGGAATACCATCAGAATAATAATAGAGTAGGGGAATTAAAGGTACGGTTCACGGTAGAAATGGTTACTGAGTTCTCTCCCTAGATATACTCAGTGTCCCCCAAGGGTAATAGAAAGGACCCTCTCGTGAAAAGAAACTCGACGCTTAGGGCATAGTGGAAGCCCTGTTCCCGGCTCGCGTGGCCTTCCCGCCTCTTGACCGATGTCACGTCAGACGAGTGTCTACACGATACAGATTGCAATTTTCCGCTCTAGGACCCACAGACAATCAGCTAATTGCCGAGTAGAAGCGACGGCCTATTCTCGTGTTCTCTAATATTCTTTTTGCTACTGCAATCCCTAATTTGATCTTCTACCCCAACAGGCTGAAAAGGTGAGCTATCTTTGCTGTTACTAGGGTTTTGTTTACTTATGCCTATAAATGAATGAAATTTTGCTCACCGTAGTCAGCGATTCGCACCAGGGCCCACACGTACGCACTGACACACATTGTACAGCTCGTCCAAACGCCCCGCGGCCTCATTCTCGTCCAGTCACCTTTTCAACGATTCTTCGAAGCATTTTTTCGCTTTGGAAATAGCGATCCACGCGAATCTTCGCCATATTTTCCACCTTATATTCCATTTTTTGTCATTATCTGGATTACCCAAAATTATCGTGAACTGTGCCCTCGATGCAAGGGAATTCGCAAAGGTGCTTTTACGTCATCGAACTGCTGTACTTTTGAGGCAGAAAGTGAAAGGAATCATGTGAATATGGGGAATATTCTCGAAAACCTTGGAGGAGTACCTACTTATGAAAAGTTAAATAAATTAGTAGGATCACGGCACATTGTTCAACCAGTATGTTTCCATCCATCTATTCACTAACAAAATCGAACGTTGCCTGAACCGATGAGTCGACTTTCCCCTTAGAAAATCTGACCAAAACTGAATGCCTGGCCCTCCCATTTGAGAATTTGAGAACTCGTAAAAGAACTGGCTAATTCCCACAAAACGCTCGGAGCACTGCTGGATTAGAGCACAGCACCCAGGCCTTCCCTTCTATCCCTCTTCGACTGGATACCGTAAAAGCCAAAATTCGCCCATATCCTTCATTCCTTCTATACGGGAGAAGTGAACGTGTATGTGGGCATTGGTGGGTGAAAGAAAATAGCATGGGGTCATTTACGAAAAAAAACTTTTCCTGGGTTAAGTAATCCCGTTTTTTGAGACTTCCGCACTCCACTTCCGTCCTACACAATGACTTTCGGGGATCGCCCATCTACAAACCAGGGCTTTAAACACCAAGAGGAATCTGGTACTTACTTCCCCACACCGGAGGGACGAAGATCAGTTGTTCCAGGCGGCTGTCTATCCGAGGTGCGATCTCGTGACCATGAACGTGCGAGGAGTGCCACATGCCACATCACCACCCCACCCACAAGGTGCATTTGCAGTTTTGAAGTCTTTTAGGAATTTCAGGTCGTAGAA